GCGGCGGGCTGCGCGGCGGCCGCGCCAGCGGCACCGCCGGACGCGAGCTCTGATGCATAGGTGGGACTCACGGTGATCACCGCGTCGGCCGCCGACAGCCCGGCAGCCAGCCAGCTGAATAGCCCGCGCGGCCCCCCGCCGCCGGGCGTGCCCGGCGGGCGGCGCCCGCCAGTGCCAGCTCCACCGCCGCTGCCGTTGTCGCCGCCGCCGTCATCATCATCACCGCTGTCCTCTCCTGATTCGTCCCCATCAGGCCCGCCCTCGTTATCGGCCGGCTCGTCAGCGGCCGCCTCCCCGCCGCGCCCCCCGCCGCGCCCAGACACAAACGACGCCAGCCGCCGCAGCCCGTCCCCGATCGCGCGCGCCGCGCCGGAAAGCGCCGCCGCCGCGCCCGCGGCCACGCCGAGCCGCTCCACCTCCGCCTGCGCGGCAGCAGCGGCCCCACCGTCGCCGTCGCCGCCGTCGCCGCCGCCGAAGCGGCCGTCGACGCCGCCGTTGTGGACCGCAAACGCGACCTTGGCCTTGTCACGCGACAGCTCGTCGCCCAGCAGCTGCTGCAGCGCGCTGAGCTGGCGCGCCGGGTCGTCCTCCGGCGCCGCGCGCCCCTCCTCCTCCCCCTCCTCTGCATCCTCCTCATCCCCCTGCTCCTCCTGCTGCTGCTCCTGCTGCCGCTGCTGCTGGATCTGGCTGTCCTTGGCCATGAGCGCGGCGCGCAGCTCGTCCGCGACGCGGCCCAGCAGGCGCTCCTCCAACAGCAGCGCCTCCAGCTGCTGCTGCACCTCCGCCAGCGCCGCCGCCGGCCCGCCCTCCTCCGCCGCGCCCGCGGCGGCCTCGCCGCCCGGCGGCCCCTCGTTGTCCGACCCCTCCGCCTCGCTCAGGGCCGCGGCAGCGCCCAAGGCGGCCGCGCGGCGCGCGCGGAGGGCGCGCAGCTCGCGCTGCAGCGCCTGCCACCGCGCGTCCCACGCCGCCACTTGGTCCTTCAGCCGCTCCACCTCCGCCGCATACTCCGCCGCGCCGCCCTCCCAGCCGCGCGCGGCGGCGGCGTTCTCGTCGTCGGTGCCCGCGCCGTAGTCGTCGTAGTCATCCTCCCCGAGATACGAGTCGTCGTCCCAGGTGCCGCCGCCCAGGCCGTCGGCGAGGGACGCGCCGTCTTTGAGCACAGTGGACAGGAGCGCCGACAGAAGCGCGCCCTCCGGCGCGGCCGCGGCGCCGGGCGGCGCGCCGCCGGGCGTGGGTGCGGGGAAGGGCGAGGAGGGCCTCGCGCCACCGGAGAGCGCCGAGAGCAGCGCCGCCAGCGCGCTCGGCGGCGGCTGCTGCTCGCCGCCGCCGCCACTGCCGCCGTTGCTACCAGAAAAGCCGCCGCTTGCCTGCGACAGGGACGCGATCACCTGCGCCAGCGCGGCCATGTCTCCGCTGCGCAACTGGGCGAGCCCATTACCGAGCGCGTCGAGACCGCCGCCCTGGCCGCTGCTGTTGCCTTGGTAACCGGCGCCGCTCGAGGCGTCGGGGCCGCCGCCGCCGCTGCTTTGCGCCAGCGACGCGAGCAGCTGCGCGACCACAGCCGCGCCCTCGCCGCGCGCCTCGGGCCCCTCGTTGCCGCTGCCGCTGCTGCCGTCGTCGGCGCCGCCGTCGCCGTCGCCGCCGAGGCGGCCGCCGCTGCGCGCCAGCGAAACAATCAGCTGCGCCAGTGCGCCCGATCCTGCGGCGCGCGGCTCCGGCCCTTCGCTGCCGCCGTCTGTGCCGGTGAGGCCGCCGCTGCCAGCCGCCTGCGACGCGAGCGCCCGCGCCAGCCACGATGCGCCCCGTGCGCTCGCCCCTTCGCCCAGAGCTGACCACGGTCCCTCTCCTGCGATGTCCGAGCCGCCGCCAACTGTGCCGGCGGGGCCGCCGCCGCCGCGCGCCAGCGACGCAAGCACTTGCGCCAGTGGAGACACGTCCTGCCCACGTGCCTGGTCGCCCTGTGCCCACCATGCCCCCTCGTCCGCGCCACCCAGACTGCTGCTGCCGGTGCCAGAAAGGCTGCCGCCGCTGCGCGACAGCGACGCCAGCACTTGCGCCAGCGCTGACACGTCTTGCCCACGCGCCTGGTCGCCTTGCGTCCACCATGACTGCTCCCCTCCACCACCGCTGCTGCCGGTGCCGGCGGGGCCGCCGCCGCTGCGCGCCAGCGACGCCAGCAGTTGCACCAGCGCTGACACGTCTTGAGCGGGCGCATCGTCGCCGCGCGCCCACCACGCCCCCTCGCCCACGCCACCCAAGCCGCTGCTGCCAATGCCTGCCAGGCCGCCGCCAGTGCGCGCCAGCGACGCCAGCACTTGGGCCAGTGCTGACACGTCTTGCCCATGTGCATCGTCGCCGCGCGCCCACCACGCCCCCTCCTCCGCGCCACCCAGACTGCTGCTGCCGGTGCCGGCAAGGCCGCTGCTGCCGCGCGCCAGCAACGCCAGCACTTGCGCCAATGCTGAGAGGTCTTGTCCGCGCGCCTGCTCGCCGCGAGCCCACCACGACTCCCCAGAACCACCCAAGCCACTGCTCCCAGTGCTGGCAAGGCCGCTGCTGCTGCGCGCCAGCGATGCGAGCAGTTGGGCCAATGCTGAGACGCCATTGCCCCCCGCATCGTCGCCGCGCGCCCACCACGCCCCCTCGCCCGCGCCGCCGCCAGTGCCAGCCAGGCCGCCGCCGCTGCGTGCCAGTGATGCGAGCAGCCGCGCCACCAAGGCCCCTTCCGCCTCGCGCGCCGCCTCGCGGCGGCCAAACCACGCCCCGTCGCCGGCCCAGGCGCCGCCCTCCCCCGAAAGCTCCGCGGCCGCCGGCCCAAACGCAGCCGCGCCGCCGCCGCCGTCGCCGCTTCCGCTGCCGCTGCTGCCGCCCCCGGTGCCCGCACCCGCAAGGGCAGACACGAGGGAGGCAATCATGGCCGACTGCCGCGCGCTGGCGCCGCCCCCCGCGGCCGCAGCCTGGCGGTACGTCTCCAGCCACAGCGGCAGCACGCCACATGGCCAATCATTCCCGACAAACACCACGGGCGCGTCGTCCCCCGCCGCGGCCGCGCGGGGCGCCCTGCTGCCGCCGCCGGCCGCGCTGGTGTCGAACGGCGCGGGGCGCGAGAACACGGGCCGCGCGATGCCGTTGCTGACGGCGCGGGGGAGCGATGCGGACTGCGCCAGCCGCTGCGCGACCTCCCACGGCGCGCGGCCGCCCGACAAGCTCGTCAGCAGGTCACCCCTGCCGGCGCCCGCGTCGCCGCCGCCCCTGCCGCCGCCCGCGCCGGCGCCGCCGCCGCGCCGCCAGAAGAGCACCGGCGCCGCGATCGCCGCCTGGCACAGCACGCTGTACGACGCGGACAGCGGGTCGCCCTCGGCGCCGCCCGCGCCGCCGGCCGCGCCGCCCCCTTGCTGGTACGTCGTCGGCGCGCGGTAGGGGCCGAGCGCCCCGCTGGAGGCGCCCTCTGTGGAATAGGGCTCCGCCCCAAAGAGCTCGTGGTCGACAAACACCCGCACGACGCCGTCGCTGCTGGAGGCCACGTGGTATGACGCATAGTCGACGCGGGGCGGCGGCGGCGGAGGGGGTTGGGGCGGCGGCGGCGCAATGCCGGGCGTCGGCCCGCCGCCATACACCTCCTGCGGCGTCCGCCGCTGCGGCGCGGCGCCGCCGTCGCCCGCTGCGCTGCCGCTGCCCGCGCCGCCGCCGCTGCCGGTGCTGCTCGCTGTGCCACTGCTGGTTGCGCCGCCGCCGCCGCCGCCGCCGCCGCCGGCGCTGGCAGCTGCAGCCGCATGGGCGGGCGCTGCAGCCCGCGGCAGCTGCACTGGCACACGCACGCCCGTGTCCCATGCGTCAACGTAACCAGAGTAGCGGGGCGCCACCGTCATAACGCGGTGACCCCTGCGCATTTGACAAAACAGCACGCGCCAGGAGGCGTGGGTCAGCAGGCTCAGCGCAGGCCTGCTACTTTGCGACCGCAGCACATGCGCTGCCGCACGCATGACGCCAAGGGGGATGGGGCAGCCGCATGCAGTTCAGAAGGCGCTGCCGGGACAGCGGGGCGCCCGCTTCAACGGCTCCCCTCGCGCGCCGGCGCAGCCGTGCCGTTGGTGCACGATCAACCAAGCCTCTGCACGCGGGGCGCGCGACCCACCTGGCGGCCAGCGCAGCAGGGAGCGCCGCCATGACGTCCCCGAGGCCGCCGACTTGGGACCATGGGGCGACCTCGGTGGTGACAAATACGACCTGAGCCGGGCAGGACGGGCGCAGAGGGGACGAGCGCAGCTGCGTCGTGCGGAGAGCGGCGACGGGTCGCAGCTGGCGGAAAACGGCGCGGGTGCGGGCTAGCCTGACGCGGTGACATGCAACGTTCAGGTCCTTTGCGTGCGCAGGGTTGTGCGCATGCAGGTGTTTGGGGGCTGCCTTTCGGGGCCGGCGCTGACGACTTCGAACTGTTGCTGCACCCTGATGCAGGTCCCCTGCCATGGTGGTGAGTTTCCGAGTCATATGTCGACCGCTACACGCCCTCACCTTGAGCTTAGGGCTCGATTGGATGGCCAGAACGCGCACAGTCCTCCTTCCGCGCCCGCGCGCAGCGGCCCGGGCCCAGCCATGGGGCCGAAGATGATTGAAACCCTTGGCCGCTCTCAATTGTCGGCGCTGGGCGACGTGAGTGAGCATTAATCCGCTCGGCAGATCATCTGTGACAAACGGCTCTCTGCATGGCGAACAGCAGGCATAAAATGCCTCTGCAGGGCTCGGATTGTGGCATAGTTCAGACCTGGCGTTTAGAAGCGGCCACCCGTAGTTACTCGTTGCGCGCCGGGTGACATGACAAATCACCCCAAGCGGGACACTCAAGACATGATTTTTGATCGTAAACGTTGAGCTCATATTCAACATCCGGACAGCATGCTCACCGCGCGTCGCCAGGCGATCCAGCAGAGCGTTCATCGTCGTTCGACCCAGTGGCAGGCCCCCTGCCTCCCTGTAACAGCGCGTAGGACGCAGAGGACATTGAATATCCGCCACGTGGCCATGGCGACCAAGCAGGAGGTGCGCTGAAGCGGGTTGGGAGCAGCGCGTCAGGTGGAGTGCACGCTGTGCAACCAAGTGGTGCACCCGGTCGGTGGGGATGCTCGTGCTGCAACACCCAGGCAGCTAGCGCAGCAGTGTCGAGCTCGTGTGGAACGGCAGCCGTCATCGCAGCAGCCCCAAATGAGCGTCCCGCAGGATCGCCTGGGGTCCTCGCTGCAAGCGCAACTCGCCTGCGTTTGCAACCCCTCCCGTCCATGTGCTTGCGCCGTGCTGCTGCAGCTCCTTGCCACGCCTGGCGTCTGCACCAGCCCCGACAAGGAGACGAAGGACTTTGTAAGTGATGGGGCACCCCGGCGCAGCGCGGCCAGGATGGGTCTGGTGCTCCCTGGCTGGCGTGGCACGGAAGCCCAGACGGCAGGGCGGCAGCAGACTAGGGCCGGCGGGCCCGCACGTGGTGGCGGGATGGGACCAAGCATTGCCATCTGAGGGAGGGCCAGGCAGCCATGTGCCCCAGTGAAGAGCAGGTTGCAGGCTTGGTTGCGTAAGCGATCCCCCTCCCCCTATCGCTAGCATTACAGCTCCATGGCAGCGTCACTGTGGACAGCAGCCGCCACGATGGTGATGTCACCTCGCCAACACCCACCACCGCAGATCTTTCAGCAGACGATGATCCGCATCAAGGACCCCAAAGCCTCCTTGGATTTCTATACCAGGTGGGTTGGGACCTCGTCCACCTAGCCCCTGCACCGCTGAGCTGCTGCCACTCGCAACGCGCTTGGGCCCCTGCACTGCCCTGCAGACGGCGAGTGCAGCCCTGCGGCTGCTTTGGCGCGCGCCCGCCGTTCCTGGTCTCAGCTGGAGACCACAGCTGCCCAAATCAGTCACGCAGCGGCGCCCGCCTCATGCGCCGCTTGCCTCGGCGCACGCCGCCCTGCCGCCCGCTGCCACGCATTTTGGAGGCGCCCGCGCTCCCCGTCACTAACTCCCGGTTGAGACTGCAGCCCCCCGCGGTGCCCCCTTTGTGCGGCCCGGCTGACGAACCCTCCTCGCCCGGGGTGCACCCTGAAACCTTTCAAAGGGTCCTGGGTATGACGCTGCTGGCAAAGCTGGATTTCCCCGACATGGCGTTTACCCTGCTGTTCGTTGGCTACTGCAGCCCTGACGAGGTGGGGGAGGGGGGCTTGAGCCCACCTGCGCACACTACATGCGTGCGTGCGTAGCATGCATGTGCATGCATGCATGCACGCATGCACGTGCACGCATGCCGATGCACGCGTGCTCGAGCACACACGCACACATGGCTCATGCGGGTGCGGTCCTTGCGCCTTGACGTGCACGCAATATGCGCGCGCGTGCGTCAGCGCCATCGGCACTCGAGCTGTTGTGTTGCTGCCGCTCGGGCCCTGTGTGGGTGGCGAAGTGGCACGGCCCAATGCACCGTGTCATTTGATTTGCAGTCTTCTGGGGGTTTAGTGCGCCTGTAGGATGGCACCTGACGCACACCCTCAGCTAGCGTTGCTCCTAGGCAAGCCCTGATGCGCCCCCCTCCCTGACACCACGTTACACATCATGCACATCCCTCCTTGTCCAACATCGGCGCCCTTCGCTCTACCACTTCCCCCCTCACCCTGTGCCTGTTCAGATTCCAGACGACCCGAAGGAGCGGGTGAGCCCGCCCTGCTCCCCACCCCTTGCCCCTCCCCCCACCTGCCAGGGCTTCACCGCTGCCCGCTCCCGCCACGGGCATCAAGCATGGCCGAGGCGGCAAACTCAGGGGGAATATTGGGGCGTGGCTGGCAGGCTGTCAGCTGTGATTCCCACCACCAGGGCGGCTGCCGCTTGAGGGGCGGGCGCGGCTGGGCAGCCAGCGCTCCAGGCACCTGCCAGCTGCGCAGCGGCGCCCTCCCTTCGAAAATAAGCGACACACTCCGCCCACCCCCCCTCCTCCGGACCCTTGCGAATCCGGCCGCTGCCAGCCCCTCTGAACCCCCCTCCATGCCCCTCCACACCGACCAGGCCAAATGGATGTTCAGCCGCCCGGCCTGCCTGGAGCTGACGCACAACCACGGCACAGAGTCGGACCCCAACTTTGCCGGCTACTGCAACGGCAACGCGGACCCTGGGCGGGGCTTCGGCCACATCGGGTGAGGTGCGGCGTGGCGCAGAGGGGCCAGGGGAGGCCGGGCGGCGGGATGAGCTGCTGCGTTAGGCACCCATGTACATGTCTCCGCGCCGGCTGCTCACGCAATCATCAGTGGACTGTGGAGGTATGAGATCCCCTCCTTGAGCGGCGGGATGCTGGTTGTGTTTCTCACCCAATTGAGCACTCGCCTGTGAGCCGCATCATCCCAGGGCCGGGTCTCGTGAGAACGTGAACGCTCGCCCCTCCCCGATTGCATGGCGGCTGCCCGGTCCCGCATCAAACGTACCACACGACGCAACCCCACCCATCCTGCTCCCTGCAGCCTGGCGGTGCCGGACGTCGAGGCGGCCTGTGAGCGCTTCGAGCGGTGCGTGGCGGTTCCCACCAACCCTCACCCCACCCCCCAGGGCCGGTCCCCTGCCCGCCTGAGGCCCGCGCTTTGGCCACCCCAGCACCCGACACCCCGCTCTCTCACATGCGTGCGGCGAGGCGGTCAGCCGTGCCGTCTGTACGGCCCAGCGGCCGCCTCGTCCTGCCGTGGCCCCGCCGTCAATGCATTGAATTGCTTGCACCACCTCAATACGTGCTGACGCTGCTTGTTGTGTGACATCCGCGGGGCCCGTCCGACATCCTGACTTGCCCCCGTCACCCCAGGCTGGGAGTTGAGTTTGTGAAGCGCCCGTCTGACGGCAAGATGAAGGGCCTCGCCTTCATCAAGGACCCGGACGGCTACTGGAGTAGGTGGCTGTGGTTCTTGAGGGCTGGGGGTAGTGGTGATGGGTTTGGGAACATGAGAGGGGGACCGCTGCCAGGGTATACAGTGGCGAGGAAGAGGATGCACGTGTGTTCTTGTGCGTGTTTTTTGTGAGGGAGGGGGAAGTGCAAGTGTGTTGGTGTGGATGTGCGAGTGTAATCCAGAGTGTTTGTGTGTGTGTGTGCGCGCGTGTGTGTGCGTGCGTACCTGTGTGTGTGTGTGTGTATATGTGTGTGTGTATGCGTGTGTGTGCGAGCCTGTGTGTGTGTGTGGGCGCGTGCGTGCGTGCGCCCGTGTGCGAGGGTGACGCAGCGCGCAGATCTTCTTGGGGTGGGGGGCTTGCTGTGGAAGTATGCTCGCACGGCATACTTCCATCAGGGCATGTCTCTCTGGCCTCCCTTTCCGCCCTGCTCCCCTGACACAGCGCGTCACCCAACCCCACCCCCCTGACCCGCATCCCCTGCGAACAGTCGAGATCCTGAACCCGGACAACTCGAAGAACTTTGGCTCGACCTGAGGCGCGTGAGGCGCCGCCATGTGAAGGCGCGGCCGCGGCCGGCAGGCTCGTCTGTAGCGACGCTGTTTCTTGCTCGAGCTGAGTTGTATAGACTAGTAAGAAGCGCTCGGCAGGCATGTTTCAAGTGATCAGCAAAGACACACAGCAGGTTGTTGCAACTGCGCACGCCCTGCACGCTCGTTTCAGCGGCGCTCCTAGGGTTGCGGCAAGGCCTGCGTTGGGCCCAGTATCACTGTCAGTTGTTCCGCACTGCTATGCGCCAGGGGCGCAGCCAAAGCGTCAAATTGGTGTGGCGAGCGCCGTGCAATGGTCTCTGGAGGGCGGGCGGGTGGCAGCCTGGTGATCGCCAATCGCCAGACATGCCCAGAACAAAAAGCAACGCAGGAGTCCTCGCTGCATCTCAGCAGCAGGGTGCCAGTGTCAATGGCATGAGTCGATGTTTGATGAAATAAGATGATGAAAGTTGAACGGCGTGCGCAGCGGTCTCAACATAATTGAATGTTGTGTCGACTGCACACGCCCATGCGGCTGCGGGCCTCACGGCCTGGCGCCGGCCGCCGGGGGGCCGAGCAGCCCCTTGCCCGCTAGCTGCAGCACTATCTTGCGGGCCGCGGGGGTGAGGGGCATCACGTGCAGGCCCCTCAGCCCGGGCACGTCCCGAAGCTGCGGTTGAGGGAGAGGCACAGGGGGCGGGCACAGCGTCGACGTGGGCGCGAGACAGGGTGCGCAGGGAAAGGTGCTGGTGGCCGAGGGCAGCTGACAGGCCTCCTCGCGTACGCCAGGCACTAGGGATGCAGCATCTGCTCCCAGTCACCAAAAGTATTTGCAAGCAACCACGATAGGCAGCGATGCTGACTGTGTGTGCTTCGCATCTCTTTGTCCCTACCACCCGAGCCCACCTGCCGCAGCTGCGCCTCGCTCCACTCGAGCGCAAACGCCGCCCCCTCCTCCCGCCCCCTCCCCTCCGCC